AAAAAACAAAGCACAAAGACAGAATGTTTCATAGGTAAGATTTTTGTTTTTTGATTTTGTATGTTATGAACATTTGTGATAAATTGCTAAACAAGTATTGATAAAAATACAGCCTTTTACTGTAGCACCAATTTGCACTTTGTTGGTCAAAATGTGCATTGTGTGCAATAATTTAATTCAAAAGCATGATTAAATCATTATTTCATTTGTTTTTTGTTTTTGACTTTATCATTTGCATATAACTTTTGAGATTATGTTTGTAGGAAAAATGGTTTAGCATTATAGCACTATTATCAAGACGAGTGCACTTTAAGATGCCCTAAAATAACTGAAATAAACAAGTTAAAGAAGTGTTCAAGTGATTTATTATTTTATTAATCATATAAAATACCATGGTTGTAACCCCACTCTCTAGTTCATGAAAGAATCCCAAACTTCAATTAATAAAATAATTCAAAAGTCATTGAAAAAAAAAATCATATTGGGTTTTGTCAAAGAACAAATCAAAAATACATAATCAGCAAGTACAGCATATTTTCCATTTTTCTACTGTGTAATTATATATATACAGTTGAAGTCAGAATTATTAGCTCCCCTTTGATTTTTTTTTCTTTTTTAAATATTTCCCAAATGATGTTTAACAGAGGAAGGAAATTTTCACAGTATGTCTGATAATATTTTTTCTTCTGGAGAAAGTCTTATTTGTTTTATTTCGGCTAGAATAAAAGCAGCTTTTAATAAAAAATAAAAAAAAAACATTTTAAGATTAAAATTTTTAGCCCCTTTAAGCTATATATTTTTTCGATAGTCTACAGAAAAAAAAAACATTGTTATAAAATAACTTGCCTATTTACCCTAACCTAAGTAACCTTGTTAAGCCTTTAAATGTCACTTTAAGCTGTATAAAGTGTCTTGAAAAATATCTAGTCAATTATTGTTTACTGTCATCATGGCAAAGATAAAATAAATCGGTTATTATGTTCAGAAATGTCTTGAAACAATTTTCTCTACGTTAAACAGAAATTGGGGAAAAAATTTAACAGGGGGGCTAATAATTCAGGGGGCTAATAACTCTGACTTCAACTGTATATATATAAATACACAGTTGATGTTAAAATTATTAGCCCCCATTTGCTTTTGGTTTTCTTTTTTTTTATATTTCCTAAATGGTTTCAACAGTGCAATAAAATTTTCACTGCATTCAATTATTTTCTTGTCGGTTTAGTCCGGCGTCGCCATAGTGGAATGAACCGCCAACTTATCCAGCAAGTTTTTACGCAGCGAATGTCCTTCCAGCCGCAACCCATCTCTGGGAAACATCTACACACATTTACATACCCACACATACACTACAGACAATTTAGCCTACCCAATCTACCCAATTCACCTGTACCGCATGTCTTTGGACTGTGGGGGAAACCGGAGCACCCAGAGGAAACCCACGCGAACACAGGGAGAAATGCCAACTGAGCCGAGGCTCAAACCAGCGACCCAGCAACCTTCTTGCTGTGAGGCAACAGCACTACCTACTGCGCCACTGCTTCACCCCTTTTTCACAGCATGTCTGATAAAGCAGTTTGAATTTTTTCTAACACCGTTTTAAAGGTCAAAATTATTAGCTCTTTATTAAGCTATATGGAATGTACAATCCCCCCCCCCCCACCCCCCGTTTAAAGGAGAGAAGATTTTTTCAACACATTTCTGAACATAATAGTTTTAATAACTCATTTCTAATAACTGATTAATTTTATCTTTGTCATGATGACAGTAAATAATATTTGACTCGATATTTTTCAAGACACTTCTATACAGCTTAAAGTGACATTTAAAGACTTAACTAGGTTAATTAGGTAAACTAGGCAGGTTAGGGTAATTAGACAAGTTATTGTATAATGTTAGTTTGTTTTGTAGACTATCGAATACAAATATAGCTTAAAGGGGCTAAAAAATTTGACCTTAAAATGGTTCTTAAAAAAATAAAAACTGCTTTTATTCTAGCCGAAATAAAACAATTAAGACTTTCTCCAGAAGAAAAAATATTATCAGACATACTGTGAAAATTTCCTTGCTCTGTTAAACATAATTTGGGAAACATTTAAAAAAGAAAGCAAAATTCAAAGGGAGGCTGATAATTCTGACTTCAACTGTATATATATATATATATATATATATATATATATATATATACATACAACAAAATAATAACGGCTCTAAATCGAATTAATACACATTAAACTTCTTTAACATAAAAAAGAGAATAGAACCTCCTAAAACATACCAGCATCCTCCTAAAACATACTAGCATCCTCAGTCCTCCTTGTAGACCATCTTGCCTTATTAAACTAATGTTATAAAACGTGATAGCCTATGTGATAGCCTAGAAAATGAATTTAATTTTTCAAATGTGTAAATTGAACCATCTCGAATCCAGATGTTGGTCACGCTGCATACAGAATTACCCAGTGATGCGATATTTCTCAAGCCAATTGTCTGTGACAACAATTAAATTAAATTGATGTCAATCAATGGCCGCACTAAACTACACACCCACAGAGAAGCGTGTATTAACATAACATTGCGGTAACATCACTGGATCATTTGGCTAAATGTAACCACAGAGATAATGGGCATTTGAGGCATTCTTATTAATTAACTGATAAAGAGAAGATAAGACACCGGCTCACTGCAGGTGTGTTTGCTCTCATCAATACTGAGAGGAAGCGGATGGAGAAAAGACTCTCTGTCCTTTTTTTCATGCATCATCTGAAATTAAAAAGCTATTAAGCGCTACATTTTCTTTAAAAAATGCTTCTCATTTATCTTCTCAAACATTTTATTCATTCCCAGTATCCATTTGCGTAATAATAATATTTTGCAGCAATTTCCTGCTGTCTTTCTGATGAGAGTGTGAAACTGGGCTTTATAGAATAGCTTTTCTGGGAGCTCAACCCACTCTGTGCTAATAATCCTAAAACATACATTTCACATTGAATGCTCTCAGCATGGGGTGAAAGCTGGAGAAATCGCTCATTTCACTATAGAGCACTTTTGCCCCCTAGTGGTGCTCGGGTGTATGTGTGTCAACTGAGCTCCTGGAATACCTAAAATAACTTGGCTTACATTTGGAGATCCATACAGATATCGTAAACATGGCAAGGTATTAGGGGCGTATATTTAGCATGGATGGAGAGGACATGTCCCCACCAATATCCACTGACTACTGAAATGTCCCCATTAATCATTTAATTTGCTTTTTAAAAAATGCAGTGTCAACATTAACCTGGCCATAGGGTTATATCACATTGTCTATTCGAGTCGTTCTGCCCCCAAAACTCATATGAACATTGTGATTGCCTGTGCCTTTCCCTGCTGTAACATGTTACATGTGATGTACAGTAACAATGCCAAAACTGAGCAGAGGAATTTTCCTGTGCAAGAATTAGCTGTGTGAGGTGGGTGACACACAAGTGAGGATGGTGGCAGCAAGTCACAAACTCAATTTTGCAACTGAAAAAGTCCATCATAGTAATGATAACATTAATGCTAGTGTTTTTTTCCCCACTTTGACTCACAATCTAAAGTTATAGCGGGCTGATATGGTCTGTAAACAATATGGTCTGAAAACTACTTTCTCAATAATACTGTCAGTTTTCATAGTCTCTCAGAGTAGGCTAGCATGTTAAATTTTACAGGTGGTTCAAAGGTCCCAACCAATGTCAAGAGCGAACCTATGCCCTTGCAATGTATATAACAAATATGACATATAAGTTCATGTTTGGATCTCACAAATATAAAATGTCATATATGCAACATATATTTCAAAATATTCCAAAAGGCTGTTTACACATTTTTCTTCCAACCATTCAAATTACAATTACTGTACGTACAATAAGTCACCTTAGAATTATAAGGTTCTATCCGATATTTTTGTTACTGAAAATTGAGTTACTGACATATTCTTATTAAATGACAACTTATTTACATTTACAGCCTATAAACATTATTTACATTAATTACGTTACAGATTTCTGTGTGGGGAAGCAGCCGTGTGGGTACTAACAGCAGATATTGATACAAATGAATTACTGAATTGTAAAATCAAAATATTGACTTCAAAACAGTTAAGTTAACTGGTAAAAGTTAGATTATATCCTAAGCTTATTGAAACTACAGTCCTCTAGCCAGGTGTGGTTTGAGTGGCTTGAAAAACCCACCCCTCACTGACAAAGGTCCAGAATTAATCCCATATATGAGCTCATTTGACCTATTTTGACCTCTATGTAATAATAAATTGTAAAAAATACCTATGAAAACAGCCCATCTAAGAAGGCTTTAAAACCAAGTGGAATCCTGTGTCGGCTGTAGCTTCTATGACTTCTGGCATCTCAAATTCTGACTGAGGAAAGTTGAGTATTGTTGTCATATTTCTTTATTTGAAATCTTTAGGAAATGTTTTTGGCACATCAAACAGCGTGGTTATAATTTTAGTACATCAGAAATTGTGGTTATGATGACCATCACTAAAAAAAAATAGTGATAAAATATCACTAAAAATGCAGTATAAGACTCATGATTAAATAGAAAAGTAGCCGCATAACTGCAAGATCCACTTTTTGAGAAAAAAGAACCACCCCTTTCACCTGGCTACAGGCCTGAACTACACTGTTTCTTTGATGCAAACTATTTTTGTTTCTTGAAATAGATGTTAGCTTAAAAAGATATACTGTATAAAGAATTAACTTAGTTTATTTCAAATAGCCAAGGAAAGTTTCTCATTTTCATTTAGTTATGCTAAATGTACTTATCTAAATCTGTTTCAAATATGAAACAAAACACAAAAATAAAAACACTTCCTGAACTGAAACACAAATGTTCAGTTCTTGTCAAGTGTCTCAATTTAAAATAAAAATGAAGAGAGAGAGGGTGGCATCTGGTGGCTTTTGAGGATATTGCAAGTTTATTTCAGCTTCTTAAATTAAAGGGATCACTCATGTCAAAATAAAAACTTCCTCACTATTCACTCCCACTCAATCGGTTCCAAATTTTTATGGATTTCTTTATTTTGTTAAACATGTTGAATGTTGGGTAAAAAGCAGCCATTGACATCCATAATAATAATAAAAAAAGACTAGGGAAGTCATTGATTTCTGCTTTCCAATTCAGTATATTTTCTTTGTTTTCTCGAATGGGTTTTGAACAAGTTAATGATGAGTAAATAATGACACAATTTAAATTTGTGTGTGAACTGTCCCTTCAAAGCATCTGTAGTGTAAAAAACAAACAAATATTGCATGTTATACAGAAATATTTATTTACATTCTTAAAGAATATGATCTGCTAATAATACAGTTGCTATTGATATCATGATTACAAATTTAAGCATATTTGATACTTACTACATCTATACTATATATACACACAGAAAAAAGGTAGTTGTGATAGACAAAAATCAAATATGTAGAGACTGGAGACATCATGTAAAGTAACAGGCTGGTCTGAAGCTCATCTCACTCGCCAGGAAACTTCATTCCATCACAGCTGAAATACAAAAAAAAAAAAAAAAAACATTAATAAAAACCCATGCAATATTTATTGCATGATATTATAAACACAACAGGTCTACTTAATGCATGTTTCTCACTATACCAGAAAAAAATACCTTTATTATTGACTATCTATCAAGCAGTTTCCTGCCAAATTCAAAATAGAATCTTACCTTAGAAGCTTGAGGAATGTAGCCAGGAAAGCAAAAGACGTATAATCAGCTGTCTTCAGCCTCAACTTCATTATTCTCTGTGTTTGAGGCTTCAACATCTTCCTCATCTTCTCTGTCTGATGTGTCTGCTGAATCAGGTCTGTCCTCAGGCATGTTGGCTGGATCCACAACTTGAACACCTGTACTTGAGCTGCACCCCATTGTACGGTCTCAATCAAGTGTTATAATTCTAAAAGACTTCAATAAAACTTCACCAAACGTCTCGGTATAAGCAAATGTTGCTCTTCAGAAGTGCATCAGTACAATCTCTGCCAAAGTATGTCTCCTGTTGTGGAAATCAGGGCTCTGATTCCTATGACAACACACTGAACTTCCTGTTGGCATCGGTGCAGGTACAGCAAACACACTTCTGCATGGTCATCCTTAGCAGGGTTTGTTGATTTACATTGCGGTACACTTTGTGCGTTTCACCTGCCAAGCAACGCGAGTTGACATTTAACCTGAAGGCGTGTCAAGACATGGTTACTGATAAATAGAGCTGGGCTGGTTGTCAGTTGGTGTCTGTGGTGACAAATTACCTGCTGTTGAAAGAGCAGGAATAGCCACTTTCTACATCTCCATCTGCAGAATTTTGGGCTTTATCTAGAAGTCATATGACAACACTGACCCATTGATAGGGATGCACCGATCCCGATTCGGTTTGATACATATTTTTGCTGGATCGGGTATTGGCCAACTGGTACAGATACAAATCCAATCTTGCCTGTGCGCTATAATCTGTGTTTACAAGCCAACTAAGCTATGAAGGTAGCTTATTATAAGGCACTAGAAAGTCATCATGTAGGCCTACTATATCCCAAATGTTCTGAAGCCATTCTTTAGTTTAATGTGAAGTACAGATGAATACTCACATGTTTAACATCATCTTCAGTCAGCTTAATGGCCTAGTCAGTGGTTAGTGCACTGACATATGATGCAGTAGCACTTCAGGGCATCCCGAGCTTGAATCCCAGCTCGAGGACATTTTCCATCCCAAATCTTAAAAAAAAAAGTCCTTTCCTGCAATATCTGAATATATATTCTGTGCAAAATTCTTTATAGATATCCAGTCCTTTGTAACGGTGGTCACACAAAAATAAAAATAAAACATGTCCACCTATATAAGTAACCCAAATAGTATTATATGTCTTTACACTAAAACAAAGGAAGAAAAAAAAAAAAAAAAAATATATATATATATATATATATATTAGGGATGTAATGGTATTGTAAATACCGTCATACCGCAATATTAAATTTTTTCGATATTACCGAAGTCGCATGACTCGGTAAAACTATAGATCTTCAGAGAAAATTTGCTCAGGCGAATGAAGCGAACGGGAGGTAGCTGAAACTTCATTTCCCATCAGCCCCGGCGTGGCCATAATCCTTTGCGGTCTGTTGTCGCTACAGATCCAGTAATGCGGAAATGGAGTGTGCTGCTAGTAGCGGAGATGAAAAAAAGATGGAAATGATCGAACCTAAAGCGGGTGTTGTCGCCGCGCGCGTGCTGAATAGCGGTGCTGTCGCGCGCGTTCTGATCAGCTGTGTTGTGGCGCGCGTATTGTAAAGCGCCGAGGGGGGGGGGGGGGGGGTTGAGCGCGCATACCAAGAGAGGTGTTGTCGCGCGCCTACTGAAGGGCTGGACTGGACGGAGGTTGTGTCGCGTCGCGGGGGCACTTTTTATCGTTTTGGAAGGGCATTTTCTATCCAAGACTAAAAAGGGCATGTACACTGCACAGGTTGAGCCCTATGTGTCCACGTGCCTGCAAGTTGGGGAATACGACTAATAACAGTCATGGGGACTGCAGAAACACAGCACTGTTCAGATTGATGCAGACATTGACCTGTACGGCAAAGAGACCTCTATCTCACTCATGGTTTGTCTTCTCAAGTGGGGGAAAGACAATGCACAATGTTACCCCACTGCTGTCAACATGGGCCAAGTCATACCTCTCTTGTCCCAGAAACCTCAGTCCCAAATGAGAGGGTTTTTTTCTGTTGCAGGGGACATTGTAAATACCCAGAGATACCAGCTTTTACCAGATTATAATTATATGATAATTTTTCTTTAAACCCATCTCTATCTAAGTGAGTGATAAAATGTTGAATGTGATGAGTTTTCAACAATACTAAATTGAAACTTTATTTTTTTACATGGTTTAATAATTTTTTGTTATTAAAATTGAAGTTCCTGTTTCAAAGCTAACAGATAGATGGCTAATTTGTATGTCATTGACACTTTTGGCACTTTTTTGGAGTATTTTCAAAAGTTTTTTTTTTCCTGTAAATGATTCAATAAATACCGTACCGTGACATTCATACCGAGGTATTACCGTACCGTGAAATTCTGATACCGTTACATCCCTAATATATATATATATATATATATATATATATATATATATATATATATATATATATATATATATATAACACAGTACACTGACCACTGCACCAATTATGTGTCAACAATATTGTTTAAAACATCACAATGTCCTTTTATGCAATTTAAATTTTGTGCAAAATTCTTTATAAATATCAAGTCCTTTGTAACGGTGATCATACAAAAAATAAAATAAAATAAACATGTCCATCTAATACAAACAGTATTCTATGTCTTAAAATAAAACTAAAAAATAATTTTAAAAAATTTTCAGGTGAGGCTCGAACTCAGGTCGGCTGCGTCATAACATGGTGCACTGACCACTGGACCACTTATATGTCACCACTATTGTTTAAAACATCACAATGTCCTTTTATGCAATAAATATTCCGTGCAAAATTCTTTATAAATATCCAGTCCTTTGTAACGGTGATCATACAAAAAAAATTAAATAAAATAAATAAACATGTCCATCTAATACAAACAGTATTATATGTCTAAAAATAAAATAAATAAAAAAATAATAAAAAAATATATGCAGGTGAGGTTCGAACTGGGGTCTGCAGCACCGTAACACCACGCGCTGACCACTGGACCACATTGGCACTGTTTTAATGGTGTGTCTGGAATAAAAAAATAAGTATTGCACTGCAATCTGCAAGGTCAAGTTATGTCAGATTTATTAATGTAGTGAATCATCTGATTTTCAAATACCAGGTGTAATATTAATATGAATTATTCAAATTCTTATATTCACTTATGTGCCGCTGTTTGGGGACGAATGATAGTTGCGTCATCTTTAACCTGCAGGCTGCATTTTGCTCATGGTGCTGCGAGAAAATAAATAAAAAGAGTGGAGCTGCAGCAAAATAATGAATAAAAAGAGTGAGGCTATGGTCAAATAAATAAATGAAAGAAGTGTGACAGCTGAGAGTGCAAGCAGCTAGGGACACTGGCCCTAGAGGGAGGTGAGAAACTCTAAATTGCGATTTGGTGACAGATTTGATTTGAGATTTATTTTGTAGTCAAGCTTCAGCTCAATAATCTGTATTGCAGCTTCTTACTGTTAAGTGTTAATTTAAAAAAATGAACCTAAAATTATATTAGCAAACATCTCTGAAATTAAACTGTGCTGTTGCTTATTGGAAGACTCTCTGTTTTTTGCTTTACCTAACTTAGTTTCTCTTTGAAGACTTTTTTTCTAAGACAAAGATCAAAACTAAGATGATGAAGATGTAGAAAAACAAGATGACGACCAAGAAATTGTAGATGAAGACTAAAACGAAGATAACGACGACCATAAAGACCAAGACGATGAGTAAGAAAACCAAGACAATTAAGATGATTATGAAGAAGACTTAGGGTGCTTTCACACCTAGACTTTTGTTCTGTTGGCCCAGTTAGTGCTGTTCGTTGGGCATATGTGAAACCAGCACTCGGATCCGCACCAAATCTATTGGTCCAAGATTGCCTTGATGAGGTGGTCTCGGTTCAATTGAAACAAACTCTGGAGGGGAGAAAGCAAAACTATCTGAGCCCGGCTAAATCACAGTGACCAAGCAGACGAAGAAGACTAAAAGAAAGAAGACGACAACCAAGAAGAGGAAGATGAAAACCAGACAGACAAAATGACAACAACCATAAGGACAAAAATATAGACCAAGACAATGACTAAGAAGATCAAGACAATGGAGATGATGATCAAGAAGAGGAAAATGAAAACCAAGACTAAAAGATGAAGACCAAGACAAAGAAGAAGACGACCAAGAAGTAGAAGATAAAACCAGAAATAGGACCATAGGACCAGGACTATAAGGACAAGAATAAAGATGAAGATGACTAAGACCATGAAGACAGACAAAGAAGATGATGACGACCATAAAGACAAAGATCAAGACCATGATGACTAAGAAGACCAAGACAAAAAAGATGACTTCCAAGAAGAGGAACATGAAAGAGGAAGACAAAGATGACAACAACCATAAAGACAAAAATAAAGACCAAGATGATGACTAAGAAGACCTAGACAAAGGAGATGTCGATCAAGAAGAGGAAGATGAAATCCAAGACTAAAGCATGCTGACGAAGAAGACCAAAAAGACAAAGATGAAGACCAAGACAAAAAAAGATGACCACGACCATAAGGATGTAGACTAAGATAAAAAAAAAACAGACAAAGAAGATGAAAACCAAGACTAAGACAAAGATGATGATGACCATAACGACAAAGACCAAGAAAATTAAGACGAAAACTAAGACGACGAAGATGACGGCCAAGAAGAGGAAGGTTAAAACCAGGAAGACAAAGACGATGACTAAGAAAACCAAGACAATAAAGCAGATGACAAGTAAGACTAAGGGTGCTTTCACACCTAGACTTGTGTTTGCCCAGTTACCGCAGTACGTTTGGCACATGTGAAACAAGCAATCCGAGATTGCCTGAATCAAATCTCGGCTCAATTGAAACGAACTCAGGAGCAGATCGATTGAGTGAGAAAGTTAAACGAGCCCGGCTATATCACAGTGTATTATGTATATGTAATAGGCATTTATGGCTACATGAAGAGAGAATTATGAGTAGGGCAGGATGTCATTCCTACCGGTAAATGGTTGTTTCATGGTAAATACGAAAGTTAAAGCATGCTGAACTATTAATGAGAGCTGGTAATCCATTAGGAACATTGACCGAACTGCAGTCTAGCCAAGGGCTCTGTATGAGAGAGTCTTACCTCTGATTTATATCTGGTGACGATGTCTGTGGGTGTCACCATTCAAAGTTAAAGCGCAGCTTTCCTGCTTATAATGTCTTATTGCTCATCGCCAGCGGAAAGCTTATTTTAATTTATGGCAACGAGCAAAAAGACATAAGGATGCATGACAGCTGAGCAGGAATAAATAAACTCTGACTAATGTAAGGAGAGTTTACTCACACATGACTTGTTTGAGCTCTTTTTGTCCGTTTAGAAACTTTGTCGTGTGAAAGCGAAGTGCACCAAGAACAAAGAGCAACATTGTAAAAATTTTAATCCCTGTTTCGGAACAAATGA